GAGAACTGTGTGCCAAGTTTGGTTCAATTCCATCGTTGGTGGGTTCAGAATGCTCTTTGATTGTAGGTGAACTATAAATCCCAGCAACTGCAACTCCCAAATGACAAAATCAATTTTTTGAGTGAAGGACATATATTGGGTTGTTAGTGTCTTGTGTCCAAATTTGGTGTCAATTCATCCAGTGGTTTTTGAGTTCTGTTAATCCCACAAACGAACATTACATTTTTATTTATATAGATTGGGAAAATGAACTATAGTAGGAGCTCAAAGTACTTTAACGCTAATGTCTTAATGTTATAGAATCAAGGAAGTTGTAGCAGTGCAAGGTCTTTTGCCTTCTCTGCCGAAGAGTGCTGGTGCCTCACCAAACTGCATCTCCCAGACCTCTATAGCCATGTCACTTAACTTACTGTCAAAAATGCATTAATTGCACAGTGTAGATGCAACCCTACAGTTGGAAGGGACCTCCAAGAGGCATCTAGTCCAACCTCCTGCCTTGCAGGAAACCACAATCTGAGAAGCATATCAGCATTGGCTTGCAAAGTTGGTGTTGCGTATGCCTACCGTGCAATATTTGGTACTTTCCTTGTTGTTGTTGTTTACTGCCCTGACAGACTGGTTCAAACCGGTTTCAAGATGTAAATTTGGAGGGGGGCGGTAAGAAAGGGAAGCAAACAGACTAAACAAAATCCAAATCTGCTGCACCTAAAAGCTGCCATAAACACGTCTCTGGGCAGGAATGCGAATTTCCTTGAGGCCCAAAGGCAACACCTGAGCAAAATGTCACATTTATCTTTCCAAGGGTTGTCTGTGGGATTTCCCAGATGTGCAGGGACCGGTTAGGCGTGAGCAAGGCGGATGGAGTCAGGGGAGGATCCACAGTAGGAAGCATAGAGTTGGAAGGGACCCCAGGGGCCATCCAGTCCAACCCTGTTCTGCCAGACAGAAAGGCACAATCCAAACCCTCCTAGCAGATGGCCATCCAGCCTCTGCTTAAAAACCTCCAAAGGAGGAGACTCCAAGGCAGAATATTCTACTGTGAAACAGCAATTATTGTCAGAAAGTGCATCCTAATGTATTGTCGAAGGCTGGAATCACTGGGTCATTGTAGGTTTTTTCAGGCTATATGGCCATATTCTAGAGGCATCCTCTCCTGACATTTCGCCTGCATCTATGGCAAGCATCCTCAGAGGTAGTGAGGTCTGTTGGAACTAGGAAAATGGATTTATATATCTGCGGAATGACCAGGGTGGGACAAAGAACTCTTGTCTGCTGGAGCTAGGTGTGAATGTTTCAACTGACCACCTTGATTAGCATTTGATGGCCTGGCAGTTGTTTGGTGTGGCTTGTTAGTGCCTGGGGCAATCTTTTGTTGAGAGGTGATTAGATGTGCCTGATTGTTTCCTTTCTGTTGTTTTGCTGTTGTAATTTTAGAGTTTTTTAATACTGGTAGCCAGATTTTGTTCATTTTCATGGTTTCATGAGGAAATCATAGGGAGGAGGGAGCAAGCTTATTTTCTGCTTTCCTGAAGACTAGGATGCGGAACAATGGCTTCAAACTACAAGAAAGGAGATTCCATCTGAACATGAGGAAGAGCTTCCTGACTGTGAGAGCCATTCAGCAGTGGAAGTGTCCCAGAGTGTGGTGGAGGCTCCTTCTTTGGAAGCTTTTAAACAGAAGCTGGATGGCCATCTGTCAGGGGTGATTTGAATGCAATATTCCTGCTTCTTGGCAGAATGGGGTTGGACCGGATGGCCCATGAGGTCTCTTCCAACTCTAGGATTCTATGATTCTATGATTCCTTCTTTCTGTTGAAATTGTCCACATGCTTCTTGTGGATTTCAATGGCTCCTCTGTGTAGCCTGACATGGTGGTTGTTAGAGTGATCCAGCATTTCTGCGTTCTCAAATAATATGTTGTGTCCAGGTTGGTTCCTCAGGTGCTTTGCTATGGCTGACTTCTCTGGTTGAAGTAGTCTGCAGTGCCTTTCATGTTCCTTGATTCGTGTCTGGGCAATGCTGCTGCGTTTGGTGGTCCCTCTGTAGACTTGTCCACAGCTGCATGGTACACGGTAGACTCCTGCAGAAGTGAGAGGATCCCTCTTGTCCTTTGCTGAACGGAGCATTTGTTGGATTTTCTTGGTGGGTCTGTAGATAGTTTGTATGTTGTGTTTCCTCATCAGCTTCCCTCTGCGGTCAGTGGTTCCCTTGATGTCTGGCAAGAACCCTTTTCCTCTGGGTGGATCTTCATCTTTACTCTCGTGGCTTCTTCTCGGTTGTCTTGCAGCTCTTCTGATGTCTGAGGTGGAGTCTCCATTGGCCTGGAGAGCCCAGTTGAGGTGGTTCAGTTCATCTTGGAGGAGGTGGGCTTCGCAGATTCTTTTTGCACGGTCTGCCAAGGCTTTAATGGTGCTTCTTTTTTGACTTGGGTGATGGTTGGAGTTTTTATGTAGATATCTACCTGTGTGTGGAATACTTCTTTTTTGCTATTCGAAACCATTGCTTCATTGTGTCCTAATCTCCAGAGCAGCAGGAAACAAGCTTGCCCCTTTCTCTTCAATGGGACATCATTTCCAATATTTAAACATAGCTAACATGTTCTCTGTCAGTCTTCTCTCTTCCAAGCTAAGCATACCAGGCCTCTTAAGTGGTTCCTTATATAGGGCTTGGCTTCCAAAATTGGACCATATTGGTTGTTCTTCTTTGTCCAACTTGTCAATATCCTTCTTCAGTTATACCAGGCTAACCCTAACCCAGCAGCCGTAGCTCTAAACAGTTTCGGCCCAGCTTACCTGTCCGAACGAATCCTTCCTTATGAACAATCTAGGAATTTAAGATTGTCTGGGGAGGCCCTGCTCGCCATCCCGCCTTCCTTGCAACCACACCTGGTGGGGATGAGAGACAGGGCCTTCTCAGTGGTGGCCTTGGCTGTGAAACTCCCTCCCTAGGGATATTGGATTGGCCCCCTCCCTCCTGAACTTCAGAAAAAGAGTAAAAACTTGGCTTTTCAAACAAGTGTTTGGAAATGCAGTAGAATAGGTAATTATGAAATAGGAAGAATGAACATGGAATGGCTAGACTATACTGTTGGATAATTATTTTAAAAGGACGCCACCGGTGATTATATGTTTTTAAATGGTTTATATATGCTTCTTTATAATGTTGAGTTGAATGTTTTAATTGTATTTTTATGAACGTATGGCATCAAATTTGCCAATTCTGTGAGCCGCCTTGAGTCGCCATAAGGCTGAGAAAGGTGGGCTATAAATGCCGTAAATAAAATAAATAAATAAATAAATAAATAAATAAATAAATAAAATGAACAAAAACACACAGACCATAGGAAGCTTTTCTTTATAGCAAAATTATATGGTTGCACTATTTACAAAAACTAGGTTTCCATAATACAAACAAAGAAAGCTTTACACACAGCAGCCTTCACACTGGAGCTTTCTCACAAGAGGCTTCTCTCACACAGAGGTTTGCCTCACTCTCCTCAGGACAACACTAGCTTTGGCCCACTAACTTGAACAGGCTTTGGACTACTGACTCTTTCAGTGTTTGACTCACACTTTTGTAATAAAAATGTCCAGTTAATTTTTAATAGTTCTGACACATTTTCTGTCCAACTTGTTAATATCCTTCTTCAACTGTTGAGCCCGGAACTAGACTCAGAGTTATTCCAAGTGAGCTTCTGACCAATCTATATAAATAAAAATGTAACGTTCGTTTGTGGGATTAACATAACTCAAAAACCACTGGGGGAATTGACACCAAATTTGGTCACAATACACCTCTCAGGCCAACGAGTAACCATCATCCATTAACACCCCCCCCCAAAAAAAGCAGCAGAAAGGGCTTAACAACCCAAAAAAGCTAAATGACAGTACAGATGCAGATGCCTGGCTTACTAACTGTGGAGTACAACCGTGGGATGTACCTCTCTCAAGCACTGCCTTTGAGCCCAACTCTTTTCCAGCCTATGTCTACAGCGAAGGAGTGAAGGAGAAAAAGGAGGAAAAGGGGAAGGAAGGAGGAAAGGAAAGAGGGAATGAAGGAAAAAAGCAGAGAAGCAAGGAAGGAAAGAGGTAGAGAAGTAAGGAAGAAAAGAGGAAAAGAAAAGGGGGATATGCAGGAAAGAGGTAAAGAAGGAGGGAAGGAAAGACAAAAAGAGAAGGAAGAAAAGAGAGAGGGACGGAAGATGGAGAGAAAGAGGGAGGGAGGGAAGGAAGAAAAGAGAGAAGGAAGGATGGAACCAAAGAGCAAAGGAAGGAAGGAAGGAAGGAAGGAAGGAAGGAAGGAAGGAAGGAAGGAAGGAAGGAAGGAAGGAAGGAAGGAAAGAGAGAGGAAGTAGGATGGATTCCATCCATAAACAAATAAATATTTTATTCATTATCTATATAAAAAAATATAATGTTCATTTGTGGGATTAACATAACTCAAAAACCATTGGACGAATTGACACCAAATTTGGACACAATACACCTATCAGGCCAATGAGTGACCATCACTCATAAACACACTGAAAACCACAGCAGAAGGGACTTTAAAAGCAAAAAAAAATACATTGCAAAGCATGCACAAAACCACATATATACACAAATATATACACACAAATATACACATATATATACCCACACAAAACACATATACACAGACTGGGCCACAGCAATGCGTGGCAGGGGATGGCTAGTGCAGAATCAATTGGGACCATATTCCTATTCAGTTGTAGGTTTTTTCGGGCTATATGGCTGTGTTCTAGAGGCATTCTCGCCTGACATTTCGCCTGCATCTATGGCAAGCATCCTCAGAGGTAGTGAGGTTTTTGTATTGATGAAATTTAGAATCATATTGACTTTTCTAGCTGTCCCATCACACTGTTGGCTCATGTTTGGCTTGTGCTAAGACTTCCAGATCCCTTTCCACGTACTGTTGTCTATCCACCCTAAATCTGCTCGGTGCAGAGGGAATGACTCCTCTTGTCCTTTCTCCTCCTGCAGGTCCCTGGCCATCGGCCACCAATACTCCTCCCTGGGAACGCAGCCCATTCTCTGCGGAAGCATCCCTGGCCTGGTGCCCAAGCAGCTCCGCTTCTGCAGGAACTACGTGGAGATCATGCCCAGCGTGGCCGAAGGGGTGAAGATCGGCATCCAGGAGTGCCAGCACCAGTTTCGCGGGCGGCGGTGGAACTGCACCACGGTCAACGACAGCTTGGCCATCTTTGGGCCCGTGCTGGATAAAGGTAAGCAACATTGGCGGAGAGGGAGCAGCAACAGAGGCAACAGGTCAAAGATCTGTCCAGCAAAAGTTTTGGAAATGGAGAGTCTATCAGATAAAACTAACAAAATGAAGTTCAACAGGGACAAATGCAAGATACTCAACTTAGGCAGAAAAAATGAAATGTAAACATACAGAATGGGGGACGATGAGGCCTGGCCTGAGATACTCCAAAACTTAAAATTATCCACACGGATGGCTGAGATAGGGTCACCTTTGCATCACTGTATACATGACAGCAGTACGTGTGAAAAGGATCTTGGAGTCTTTGTGGACAACAAGTTAAACATGAGCAGCAAAAAAAAAAAAAACTCAATGGGATTTTGTCGTGCATCAATAGGAGTATAGTGAGTCGATCCAGGGAAGTCATGCTACCCTTCTATTCTGCCTTGGTTAGACCACACCTGGAATTCGATCAGGGCTGGCTTGATATGCCTTCCTCTTGGCACATTTCTCCCTTCATTTCTGGCTCTTCAAATTCTGCAGCACTGCTGGTCACAGCTGACCTCCAGCTAGAATGCTCAAGGGCCAGGGCTTCCCAAATCTCAGTGTCTATGCCACAGTTTTTAAGATTGGCTTTAAGCCCATCTTTCAATCTCTTTTCCTTTCCACCAACATTACATTTCCCATTCTTGAATTGATAGTATAGTAACTGCTTTGGGAGACAGTGATCGGGCATTTGGACAACATGGCCAGTCTATCAGATAAAACTAACAAAATGAAGTTCAACAGTGACAAATGCAAGATACTCCACTTAGGCAGAAAAAATGAAATGCAAAGTTGATAGTATAGGAGCATTGCTTCAATGCTGGTGGTCTTTGCTTCTTCCAGCCCGCTGACATTCGTCTGCCTGTCTTCCCAAGAGATGTGTAGGATTTTCCAGAGGCAGTGCTGATGGAGTCGTTCTAGGAGTTGCATGTGACGTCTGTAGGTAGTCATGTTTTGCAAGCATATAGCAGGGTTGGTATCCCTTGGTATCCCTACGGATGTCCTCAAACACTATTTGCTTCATTCAGAAAAATGCTGCACTCGCAGAGCTCAGGCAGTGTTGTATTTCGATGTCAATGTTGACTTTGGGAGACAGTGATCGGGCATTTGGACAACATGGCCGGTCCAGCGGAGTTGATAGCATAGGAGCCTTGCTTCAATGCTGGTGGTCTTTGCTTCTTCCAAAAGATTTGCGGGATTTTTCAGAGGCAACACTGATGGAATTGCTGATGGCCATATGTCAGGAGTGCTTTAACTGTGTCTTTCTGCGTGGCAGAATGGGATTGACTGGATGGCCCCTTGGGGGTCCCTTCTAACTCCAGGAGTTTAGGATTCTAGATCAAATCTAAGCTATATATTTTAGTGAGAAGAATTCCCTGACTTGTAAGGGAGAGAAACGTAAGCTCAGCTTGAATGGTAGTAAAACTATATATCTCTTTGAGTCAAGGAAGTCTGGTAAAGTGTCTCCAATGGGATAATGCCTGGAATAGGTTAAATGGGTTGCATTTAATTAACTCTTCCATGAGAGGTGGGTTTGGTCCTAGCCATTGTAAATATTACACCATGGTGAGAATTAAATTACATTTTGCAGGAGAAGAATTTTCAGTAGAGTCACAAATGGAATGATAGCATGAGCTTTCATTGTTGATAAGCCAGTCCCGTGGATGCATGAAGTATTATTTAGATGTCCAAGTTGCAATAAGACAGCAGAGGTTTGGGAGTCTGGAATATCATCCTGAGATTAGAAGGAAGCCAAAATGCAAAAAAATACCATCAGCAACAATTACTTTTCTAACCCTAGTCCATCACAAAATGGTTAGGAATAGCAGCAACACCCAGCTACAAAGGTTTGCCTAAAAGGCCAGCGTTAACAAGGTAATTGACACTTCCAAGTTGTTTTCAAGCCTATCGTGTTTTTCTTTTCCTGGCAAGGTTTATTTAGAAGTGTTTTGCCACAGCATTACATTACTGAACCCTGTGATTGTTGTTTGGTGAGCCACCAGCCTCTTTTTGACAGAGGAAGCTCAAGACCTTGCAAAACTACAACTCCCAGGACTCTACTGCATTAATGCTACACTGTGGATGTACCCTCAGGGAACAGGACTTTACTTCGCATCTTTGGAGTTGTAATTTGTGATGACACCAGCACTCTTTGGCAGGTGCTGAACATGACTGTGAGAGCCGTTCAGCAGTGGAACTCTCTGCCCCGGAATGTGGTGGAGGCTCCTGCTTTGGAAGCTTTTAAACAGAGGCTGGATGGCCATCTGTCAGGGGTGATTTGAATGCAATATTCCTGCTTCTTGGCAGGGGGTTGGACTGGATGGCCCATGAGGTCTCTTCCAACTCTTTGATTCTATGATTCTATGATTCTAGGTGTGTCTTAAGACCTTGCCAAACTACAACTCCCAGGATTCTGTAGCATTGAGCTGTTGGCAATTAAAATGTTAAACTGCATTAATATTACACTGTAGATGTACCCTCAGAGAGCAGGACTTGCCTTCACATCTTGGAAGTTGTAGTTTGGTGGAAACACCAGCACTCTTTGGCAGATGCGGCTTAAGACCTTGACAAACTACAGCTCCCAGGATTTGGTAGCATTGAGCCATTGGCAATTAAAGTGGTGTCAAACTGCATTAATGCTACACTGTAGATGTACCCTCAGAGAACAGGACTTGCCCTCACATCTTGGGAGTTGTAGTTTGGTGGAGACATCAACACTCTTTGGCAGATGCGGCTTAAGACCTTGCCGAACTACAGCTCCCAGGATTTGGTAGTATTGAGCTGTTGGCAATTAAAGTGGTGCTACACTGTAGATGTACCCTCAGAGAGCAGGACTTGCCTTCACATCTTGGGAGTTGTAGTTTGGTGGAGACACCAGCACTCTTTGGCAGATGTGGCTTAAGACCTTGCCAAACTACAGCTCCCAGGATTCTGTAGCATTGAGCCGTTGGCAATTAAAGTGGTGTCAAACTGCATTAATGCTACACTGTAGATGTACCCTCAGAGAACAGGACTTGCCTTCACATCTTGGGAGTTATAGTTTGGTGAAGACACCAGCACTCTTTGGCAGATGTGGCTTAAGACCTTGCCAAATTACAGATCCCTGGATTCGGTAGTATTGAGGCATGGTGGTTAAGAGTGAGCAAGTATTATGGATCTAGTGGCCAACCTCAATGGGAGATACTGGCCATTTGGTTTTTCCTTAATGGTCTGGGATGGCCCTATCACCACTCCATTACTTACTATCACCCTTTGGGAAGCTCTGGAGACTCTGTAGTCTTCAAGGCCCACAGAACCAACCTTGTAGGTCACATTTCACCCACCTCTTCCTTGGATCGGGGTTTGGTGGCCTGTCCCCAACTCTTTCTTTTGAGCATGACGGTTGCACTCCAGGACAGGAAAAGCCCTCTGATTGTAAACACCACACAATTGATTGGAAAACAGTCCTTATATTGAAGATTATTTAAAAACAGCAAAGTAAAAAAGCCCTTTAAAGAAATAGGAAAATCCAATTAGGTAAGAAGATAAGCAGGAGCAAAATTAGTCCAAGGTAAAGTTCAGCAAAGTCCATAAAAACAAAGTTCACACTTCTCTAATATAATTCAGGAAAACAGAAAACATTTATCCAAGGCATGAATAGGCATTCATACAATCCAAGAATCCAAACCATGAAACAAGAAGTACTTAAACAAGAATCTTCCCAGCAAGGCTTTCGTGAAACAAGGACGAGAACTACACTTGATTCTAAAATATGCTTCATCTAACTATATTTCCCATACTTGGAACTTTTATCCCCTCATTAAGCTATCCCCAGCACTCAGAAATTGGTTTCGCTTTAACTGAGATTCCCTTATCTTTTTCTGTTGGATTCTGGCAGACCACCGAAGCCACTGTTCGGTCTGCCTATTTTGACTAATCTCCTTTTTTTTCATGTGAGGAGCAACTTGAGAAACTGCAAATCTCCTAAACTCCTGCCTCCTATCTATTTGCTCATTAAGTTTTGCAACTGGGCCAGGTGCCTAGTTGTTTTCAAGCCCCAAATCCTGAGAACTCTCTGGTAACAATTCAGAGAGTACACTATCATCCCCACACCCTTCAGGGACATTCTCATGAGAAACTACACTTTGCACAGGGTTCTCCTGGTCCTTCTCTGCATCAGTATCCTCATATTACAACTCCCATTAGCCCTGGATCAATGCTATGGGATCCTGGTAGTTGTGCCTCCTCATATTACAACTCCCATTAGCCTCACTTCCCACATCCAATGCACCCTGATCCTGAAACACAATCACAGGCTGAACTCCAACAATGACCTCCATCGAGGTCAAAAGCCGCAGTCCTGGAAAAGATGGCTGAATGCAATGCCCTTCACCTTCCAGCCAGCTTGGCTTTTTCCCTGGTCTAGACATAAGCCTTTGAGGATGTAATTATCACAACACTTGGCAGCCCTCCCCACTCCTCCCCAGAGGACCAAAGGGCCTGCAAAGATTAGCCAGCCCTAATGCCAGTGCAAACACCAATTGACCTCCGGTTAGAAGTGCAAGGTGGCCTCCAGAATGCAAAGAAGGGGAGCCAATCCTTGGGCTATTTGCACGCTTGACCTTCGGTGTTCACCCTTGGAAAAGGGTGCCAGAGGTTGCACTAACAAGCCATTTCATACGAAGAGCGGAGGAGTCTTCCCTTGTGTGGAAGTAAAGAGGCTAAACCGGGTGTTTCCTCTCCATTTGTTATTTGCCATTCTTATTCCCCAACCTTATGAGCGTGTCACAGTGATTTGGGTGTTGAGTTAAGGCTCTGGAGAGCAGGGTTCAAATCCTAGGACAAGGAGGAATGGAGTCAAATTTCAAGGAAAGAGATTCCACCTAAACATTAGGAAGAACTTGCCGGAGGTTGGTGTTGTCATACAGTGGAATCTGCTCCATGGAAGTTTAGTGGAGTCTCCTTCTCTGAAGGTTTTGAAGCAGAGGCTGGATGCCC